CCCCCCCCCCACGACCTTTCTTCGTCTCCTCCGCGACGCCCCCGGCGTTGGGACGGGAGGGGCGGTGTGGCGCGGGTCACCGGGCGGGCAGCGGAGGAGGAGAAGGAGGCGGAGGCGCTCGAGAGTGCGACGACGGCGCCGACCTCTCCCGCTTGCGCGAGTGTCGCATTTGTCGGTCACCGGCGTGCGGCCACGCGGCGTGGGCGGCGGCACTGGAAGCAGCGCAAGCCTCCGCGCAGCGAGCGGCGGCGAGCCGTTCATCCGCGGGGGAGCCGGCGGGTACGACGGCCGGCGGCGGCGGGACGGCCACAACCCCTAGCAACTGCGGGGTTCCACTGTTCGGGGCATTCCATCCCGACGGGCACGGCGGGTGGATCGGGTCGCTGTTGCCTTCCCCCCCTGTGGCACCGGCAGGTCCTCCTCCGGCGACGGCTCCTTCGTGCGCGTCCAACTTCGACGGCGGGGGGCGCGAACAAGCGGTCGCCACCGACGACGAAGACCTGGACGATCTCGCACCGCTTCCCCCGCCACTGCCGGTGCGGTCGGCCAGGCAGAAATCGGCGAGGCGGGCGGCGGGAGGCGTTGCGGCGGGTGGGTCGTCCGGCGGCGGCGGTGGCGGCGGCAACGATGCCGGTGACCACCACCGTGCGGAGGTGGCGACGGTGGCGCAGGCCGAGGGGTGGTGGCGCGTCTTTCGGAGCTGGTTTGAAGGGCCGCAGGCTGACGGGGAATCGCCGGTGCCCCCGTCCACGGCGGCGGCGGCGGCACCGGCACCGGCGGCGACGACGACGATGATGACCCAGGAGGACACCATTTCGGATTTTCTTAACCCCTTTTCGCCCGCCTCTTACAGGCGCTTCTCCGCCTCGCTTGCTGACGCCGGCGCTCCCAGCGATGGGTACGGCAGCGGGGATGGGTTTTTTGGTGGTGGTGGCGGTCGCGATGCTGCTGGTACTCGCCGGTCTCCGGAGATGGCGAAGCTAAATCTCGAGGAGCGCGTCATGGGGTGCATATTCGGAGGTAGTGACAGCCCGGACGGATACGGGGACGAGGCGATGATGACGTGGCAACGCGGGCGAGAGATAAACGGGGGGGGTCGTCAGGAGGACGGCAAAGGAGAGGTAAGGGAGAGCGAGCCTCCCCCCGCGTGCTTCACCGTTCGTCAGCATCCCCCCCCGTCCCGCCTGCTGCCCGACAACGCCTGGCGCTTACCCGCCGGCGTCGAGGACGCTTTGGGTTCCCCGGCTGCCCCTGACGGCTGCACCGCCGACGGGCTGTCGAAACCATTTGGCAACGCTGCCACGCGTAGCGCCGGGATGGCAAGGGTGCGCGCTTTCCGCTCTTCTCCGGCCCTGCGGCCGCCGGGGACGCCGCGCTCGTCGCCCCGCAGGGTTACGGCGG